GAAGTCGGGAAGCCTAATTACAAACTCTAAGCTCACTAAGGGAGGGGAGGGAATGGTCACCACAGCACTGGCCTGAGACACTTAACAAATTCCTATTGACTTAATGCAGAGCTGTAGCAACAGGAAGGAGGCAGGGTGTGACATGGTGTGGGTCACTGACAGGCCCAAAGGCCTCTAGCCCCAAGCAAGCACAAGGTTCTTAGCTCCGTTAACAGAGCACCCAGCTGATGCTAAGTGCTCTATTAACAGCAGTTGCTGTGTTATAGTTCCCATTGTAATTGCTGTTGTCCTTAGACTCACTTTACATAAAGTGACTAATCAAAGAGGCAGTATCAGGCAAGAACAGCCTTCTATACTGAGACAGAGATTTAGTTTTGAATAAAGACACACAGATACATGTAAACAGAAGCCAGAACTCACCTGCAGGGACTCTAGCCAGGACAAACAGGAACACATTGGTGGCTGCTCCAAGGAGGAGATAACCCAGGGCGCTGAGCAGAATGCACACCAGCAAGGAGGCCTGTCTTCCCACCACATCGCTCCAGCAGCCCTGAGGAAAGCAAGAAACAAAAACTCTTTGACTCACTCCTTAGGGTCACATGTAACCTCTACCCTGCAAATACCCACAGCAAAGTGACCCAGCTGAAAACATGAAAGCATCTGCTTTACGGTTCTCAGATGCTCGGCTCCATCATGCTAGCTGCCAGAGTGCGTTATTTTCTCTGGTCTTCTGGCACAATAGTAGTTTCCATTGTCCAAAAATAAATCGATGAAAATAATTTTTAAAAAGTAAAGAAAAAGCCTGATGATCTGGTACCTGAGAATAGAAGGAAAGATGAAGTATAATTTATAAAGCTTCAAGTCTGTCTTCATTCTCATTACTTTATATAACTCCTCAAAAACCATGTTCGCTATCAAGCACAGAAACTGAAGTAGCAATAAAAAAATCTAACAAAGTCTCTGACCAGATGACACCCAATTTTACCAGACCTGCAAAGAACTGGTACCCATTCTGCAGAAATTATTCCCTAACACTGAAAAGAAACAAATCCTCCCTAACAGGTTTTCAGAAGCCAATGTTGCATTGATTCTAAAGACAAGAAAAGACTCAGGAGAAAAAAAAACAACAAAAAAAACTACAGACCAATTTCCCTTATGAACATAGACACACAAATTCTCATTAAAATCCTAGCAAACCAAACTCAGATGCACATCAAAAAAGTAATTCACCACAACCAAGTGGACTTTATCCCAGAGATGCAAAGATGGTTCAACATATCTAAAAATGTAATTCATCACAAAAACAGAAGTAAAAAGATCATATGATCATCTCTATTGAAGTAGTAAAGCATTTGACAAATTCTGCCCCCTTTTTTGATACGAATGTATAACAAGAGAAACGTAGATAGGACTTACCTCAAAATTGTAAAAGCCATATACAACAAACCCACAGCCAACATTACACTGGACCGGGGTAAAACTGAAAGCTTTCCCACTTAGAACTGGAACCAGACAAGGTTGTCCACTATCACCACTTCTTTTCAACATAGTGCTGGATATCCTAGCCAAAGCAAACAAACAAGAGAAGGAAACCAAAGGGACCCAAATGGAGGAAGAAGACGTCAAACTATTGCTCTTTGCTGATATTATGTGACCCAAAAGATTCTACCAAAAGACTCCTGGAATTGACAAATTCAGCAAAGTCTCAGCTTACAAAATCAATGTACACAAATAAGTAGCATTTTTATGTGCCAACAACAGTCAAGCTGAGAACCAAATCACAAACTCAATACACTTCAAAATAACAACAAAGAAAATAAAATACCTAGGAATACATTTAAATAAGGGTGTTAAAAGATCTCTGTAGGGAGAACTGTGAAACACTGAAGAAGGAAATAGCAAAGGATATAAACAGATGCAAAGGATATAAACAGATGGAAAAACATACCATGTTGATGGATCAGAAGAATCCACACTGTTAAACTGTCTATACTACCCAAACTGATCTATAGGTTCAATCCCAGAACAATAACAAAAAGAAACCACGTTTTCTATTTAGAAAATACTGAAAACAAAATGAAGACTACAAAAAATACCAATATCATATTTTGAATATCTAGAAAAAATGATTATATGCTTCATGTTGGACCAGAAAATATGCTATATAGCCAAAGCAACCTTAAGCAACCAGAAAAAATTGAGAGGCATCAATTTACTAGACTTCAAGCTATACTATAAGGCTATAGTAACTGAAACAGCATGGTACTGGCACAAGAACACAGACATAGATCAATGGATCATAACAGCAAACTCAGATATAAAACCCTTCTCGCATTTGATTTTTGACAAAGCAAACAATCACATACACTGGGGAAAGGAATCCTTATTCAATAAATGGTGCTAGGAAAATTAGATAGCCACAAGTAGAAGATTAAAACAGGATCTGCACCTCTTACCACTCACAAAACTAAGACATAAAACTATAAGAATTCTTGAAGAAAAAGTTGGAAAATCTCTTCTACACAGCAGCCAAGATAAGAATCTATGAAGGAAACCCCAATGGCAATCACCACCACCAACAAAAAAGACTTGATCAAATTAAAAAGTTTCCGCATGGTCAAGGGAACAATTGTTATAGAATGAATAGGAAAACTACAGATTGGGAGATGCATGCTATACATCAAATAAAAAGCTAATAACCAGAATCTCAATGAACTCAAACAATATGGAAGAAACTCAATATGGAAGAAACCAGTAATCTCATTAATAAGCATGTAAAAGACATGAACAGAAACTTTTCAAAAGAAGATAGAGTAATGGCCAACAAACATAAAAAATTGTTCAAATCTCTAGTCATCAGGGAAATGTTAAATCAAAACCACAATGAGATATCACTTAACTCCAGTGAGAATGGTTATTATTAAAAAGTCCAAAACAACAAATGCTGGCATGGATTCGGAGAGATAGAAACAGACTTACATTGCTGGTGTGACTCTATGGAAAGTAATATGGAGATATTGCAAAGAACTAAAAGTAGACCTACCATTTGATCCCGTAGTCCTACTACTGGGTGGTATTTACCCAGAGGAAAAAGACATTTTATTAAATAGACACCTGGCTCTTGAATGCTCATAGCATTACAATTCACAAATGCAAAGAAGTGGAAACAACCAAAGTACACAACAATACACGAGGGCATTAATAAAATGTGGTATATGTATACCACAGAATACTACTCAGCCATTAAAGAAAAAGGTAAAATGATACCTCTTGTATTCACCTGGATGGAATTGGACACCATTCTTCTATGTGAAGTATCACAAGAATGGAAAACCAAATACTACATGTACTCACTACTAAATTGGGACTAATCAACACTTATATGCACATACAGACATAAACTTATGAAAAGTCAAGTAGGTGGGAGTGGAGAGGAGGGAATGGGTAAATTTACAACTAATGGTATAATGTACGCTATCTAGGTGATGGGCATACACCTAGAATGATCCAGATGGTACAGAAGCAATGTATCGAACCAAATATTTGTACTCCCACAATATTCTGAAACAAAACAAAATAAATCCCAGAACAATAAAACTACATTTTCTATTTAGAAAACACTAAAAAACAAAATGAAGACTACAAAAACTAACAACCCTAAACTTGCTTATATTTTTAATAAAATGGTTATACAGTATACTGTTTTGTAATTTGCTTTCTTACTTGATATGACTTGAATATCATTCCATGTAATCAAAAATTTGCCTTTTCTATTTTTAATCCTATTCCATATTCCACTACCTGCCAATAGTTACTCAACAAATCTACTTTTTGTTTGATTTTTTTGGTTCAACTTTTAAAAAATAATGCTACGATAAACCTTCTCATAGCAAACTCTTCAAACATTCCTGAAAATTTCCTTAGAACAAATTCCTGGAATTTGAGTGGTTAAAGTTAAAAGGCAGGCATATTTTTAGGCAGCTGACATATATTGACTCTCCAGGAAGATCTGTAAGTGAAGGGTGTCTCTAAAAAGCACAAAGCAGCCGCCTCCTATTATTCAGAGGGAACTAACTCTGTAAAACCCAGAGCAACCCTGAGCGAAGCAGTTAAAGTTGACAAAGCAAAACATTGGGCCAGAGAAGAGTAAAGTAGGAATGAACTTATTCAAAGGCAGAAGGAACAACAGGGCAGAGGGGCCCTTGTGAAAGAATGTGTAGTGAGGATAAGATGCAGTCAGGCAGGCTGGGCAGACAGGACTTGGTTGGTCTGGTCAGTTGAGGTCCTGCCTGACCTTCACCCCTTGTCTCCCATTTGACACAGCTGGTCTGGTCAGTTGAGGTCCTGCCTGACCTTCACTGTCTCCCATTCTTACTGTTCTATAAATTTAGCTCACACCTTAAAGATATCTATCTTAAGTAGTTTAGGTGGAATGATTCAGGAGATTAACTTTTGAAGTGGAATGCTGTAATAAGTCACTGAGTTATACTTAAAGTTAATGTGATCTCTGCTTTGAACTACACAGATTAGGAAAGAATGCCACACTGGAAAAAGGGTAGCTTTAGGTATACAAGAAGAAGAAATTTAAAGACTACTGAGCCGTTTCTACCACCCCTCTACCTTGTCTTATCTTTTGTAGAGCTTTTTTGTGTCTATCATCTCTGAATACTCTAACCTGCCACGTACCCTTTGTTTCTTCCTGGCTGTCCTGTCTGCTCAGAAGGGGTCTGTCAAAGCTTCTGGCCAGGGTACTCCCTGGTGTGGCTTGAACTGTCTCCCTGGAAGGACTATGGACAAATTGCCCGTGAGGGTGGCAGGTAGGTTTCCTTCTTCTGGCTCTCTTTTCATAAGGGACATTTGCCCATCCTAGTCTGTTTTTGTGGCTGTGTGTCTTTAAATTCTGTCTGACCACCCAAGAACCCGAAGTTTAAAGCTCCAGCACACTTTCATGTGAGTGGCAACCCTACATACAATGTAGGTAGGAGACTCTCCGTTGACCCATATTTCAACCAACACTGTGCACTGTCAATTTAAAAAAAGTGCAAATTTGACTAAATGGCATCTTTTTATTATGTTTACCTTTTTCCCTGATAATTATTTTAATGTTTGCAGTGGTTATTTGCATTTCCTCTTGAGGGACACAAGCCATGTGACATGTCTGCCAGTTGTAACTTCTGTGTTGGGGAAACCCCACAGTGCTGCCAGGTACAGGCTCCCTTCTAAACTATTCTCAAGGCAAGTCTGGATGTTAAGAGCACAGAGGTGACCTGGGATGGAGCCTGCCCAGTAGGGATGACATGCTTCATGATGATGGCTGAACACACCGGCAACTTGCTGAAAGTCTGGCTGTGAGGCACTTAAGAGAGGAAAGCAGGGAGCAGAATCTGGGAGATACACAAGGCAGGAACGAAGCAGAGGCCAGAGAGGGGCCCTTGGGCACCTGTGCTCCATGTGTGCTGCATGGAGGCCTCTTGGCCTCACATGTGAGGCAGGGATGCTTCCTGGATGGATGGCAGCAGGTGAGCAGAGCTCCAGGGCTGCCTTTTAGCTCATTACTACAAGATCTCCACACCCTATACTTACAGGTCTAGCTAAACACAAGCCTCACTTGCAGGCTGAATGCTCTGGTCCTTAAAGATGCAACTGGAAGTCACAGGGTGAGGCTTCTGAAACAGTCCTGTGCAGGTGGAGTTGGGCGCTGGCTACCTTGGCCTTGTGCTCTTTGTCCTGCCTGTCTTCCTGCTTAGCACGTCCCCCTCTATGTTGAGGCTTGAGCAGCCGTCTAGTTAAGCATGGCCCAAGCAGGGTGACAGATAGCAGGAGCCTGGTGGCAACTCAGACAGCTGGGCAGTGTCGGTGGCATGCTTCACTTTTCTCTTCAGGGTGTGCTAGAAAGGCTCTGTTACTCACAGGAGGACATCAGCTTGACCAATATGCCCAAAGGAACCAGAGCGCCTCCATGCTGACCTACTTACATATTGAGGCTCTGGGTGGGGTAATGTTTGAAAAAATGTCATTGCCTTAAAATAAAAATTGCTAACCACTATGACGGCAATGGGGCACTGTTTGAGAAGGGTGAAGAAACAGCGTCCCCAGGGTGGTGTGACATCCAGGAGAGCCCCAACTCTGGTTTCTGCCAGTCCTGGCTGGAGGAACCTGAGTCAGCGTCCCGCTTCCCATCTGCAGTGACGATCCATAACTTCCCCCACTCTCTCCAAATAGCCATGGAAGCAATCTCAGGCCGCTGCTCTTCCTTATCAATTGCCAACTATAACTGTGCCCATTCTCCATTTTCATTGTTTATTTTTTTCTGAAGGACACCAAAAATCTCTTTACATAAAGATATGAACTATCATAAAATTCTTCTAGGAAATATTTTGAGGGCAAACTCTCCAAAACTATAGTCCTCAACCATGAATGGGTATCAGTATCCATCCGTGGCCTGTTAGGAACTGGGTTGCACAACATCACCTGAGCCCTGCCTCCTATCCCACCGCCCAACTTCCCTCCCCACCCTGGGGAAAAACTGTTGTCCGTGAAACAGTCTCTGGTGCCCAAAAGGCTCTGGTCTGTGGCCTGTTAGAAACCAGGCTTTACAGCAAAGGTGAGCTGGAGATGAGTGAGGAAACCTTCATCTGTATTTACAGAGATTCCCTATCACTCACATCGCCACCTGAGCTCTGCCAACTGTCTCAACCCCCTCCCTTAAATCAGTTCTTGGTGCCAAAAAGAACCTTTGGGCACCCTTGCTCCAAAATACTGTCATCCTTCTCCAAATGTCACGAAGCCTAGTCCCTAACTTTCATTTCAATGGATTTCAGAAATTCCCTCTACTCTTTTGATTTAGGTAAAGAGTCACTGGCCTCCTTGTGGTCACGGGGCAGTGGGACAATCAGGTATAATCTGGTGACTACACCTTTGGGCCGGGGCCAGGTTACCTGGGTTCAACTCTGAACTCTTTTCATTCCTTGCTACTTTACCTCGGACATACTAGGTAACCTCTCTATGCCTCACTGTTACTGCCTATAAAACAGGAGTAATAATGATATCTGCCTCACAGTTTATTTTTCCCTCAACACCTCCTATGTGCTTAACATAAAATGAATTATTAAAGACCCACACCCACCCTTTATGGATGGTTCTATCAGATAAGTTCTCAGAACAGGGTCCAAAACATAATAAGTACCTTATAAATGCTAGTCATTGTATTAAAATAAATGCATTAACAAACATTAGCCAAATCTGACAGAAAACATTTTTTCTTCATAGAAATTTGTTCTTACAATTAAAATAATTTTATGAAACTTATGATTAAATATGTACTTATAAAAGTATTGGCTAAAAAATATAGCTATTTCTATTTTATTTTCTCTCTCTCTCTTTTTGTAAAGACGGAGGTTTTCTTTATTGCCCTCGGTAGAGTGCCATGGCATCACACAGCTCACGGCAACCTCCAACTCTTGGGCTTAGGAGATTCTCTTGCCTCAGCCTCCCGAGTACCTGGGATTACAGGCATCCTCCACAACGCCTGGCTATTTTTGTTGAAGTTTGGCTGGGGCTGGGTTTGAACCCACCACCCTTGATGGGGCCGGCGCCCTGCCCACGGAGCCACAGGCACCCCCCCTAAATTAGCTATTTTTCTACCTGAAATGTTTCTAAGGAAGGTTTTTTATTCCAGCTACAAGATAGATGAAATGTCCTCTGTAAGCAAAATTAAACAAAAGATCAATTTGATAAAGTGAGTACGGTTATAGGTGGGAATAAAAATGAATATTCCTAAAATGCTAACTGTGTGCTAGGTGCTCTGATAAGCAATAGTATAAAAATAAATAAAACCTGGCCTTTATCTCAAGGAACTCAGAGTCCAAGAGGAGAAAAGTACTTGAATAATTAACATATCTTGTGACCTAGCATCTCTGACATAGGAGTATATACACATCTAGTATTGGGTAGTGAGTTTAAAAATAAAGCAGAAAAGGTATTTATTGAACATGTACTCCAATTCTTCTTTCACACGAAAGTATATAAAAGAAATTTTGTAGCTCTTCCTGACAACTGTAGGATCTGATAAGTCTAGTTATCTATTTACATTTTTCTGTCATTAAGACAATAGCAGATGACTTTTAGTTAAAAAATAAAATGGTCTTAGAGTCTGAATATGCGATTAGGTAACTCAGTTAAATTATTTAAATCATGAGTCTTAATTTCCTTCTACAGAAAAAAGAGATACCAAACTATTCCGCTGGGTTATTAAAAAGTTAAATGAGAATCCAACTACTATTGTTACACAAATAAGACTTCACAAAAATCAAGAAATAGCTATTTACTTAAAAATTCAATATAAAATCTGAATTCCTTTCAAAAATATTTTATAAGGAAGCAACTCTTAGGAAATAGAAGCATACGTCACGTCCACTAACATGTGAGACCACCAAGCCAGCTGTTGACATGCCTGAACCACTGGACATGGAGGTCTCAAGACTAGTGTAGCCACAGTAGACCGCCAACGGGAGAGGTCTCTTAGGTTCTAACATGAGTAGTGAGAAGCAGGAGAGGGACAAACCATCTCTGCTCTTTCCACTCCATGTTGCAGACATACAACCACCCCAAATGGCTCCTTCCGTCTCGGGAATTTTCAACTGGTGTGCTGTAGCACACTGGTGTGTCATGAGAGGATCTTAGGTGTGCCACAAGGTTTTTAAAAGATTGTTAATTAAATTATTTTTGGAAGATGCTCAAAGTGTAGTACGTTTATTCTTTTTGTAGTCTCTTTTTTTTCTTTTGATCAACATAATTTAAGTGTACCTTGAGATAAAGATTGAAAAACACTGATCTATATACTTAATAAAGCATTAAGCTCAAAATGCACAACCTGAAAAAGGATAATAGAAATCTAAGGGAATTTAATTATGGTCAATTAAGTGAAACAAACAATAATATTGGTAATACCTTTTTGTTCCTTTCTTCAGTTAAAAAGTTAGCAGGGAATTGCAGGGAGAACATTTTACAATTTAAAAATTGTTCTCATCTAGTATTACTCAGTGTGTTCCATTCAGAACAAGCCATCCAAACCATTTAGGCCGGCACCTCCTCACAGGTCAAAAGGAAGACAAATGAGAGAAGGATCCTTCTTGATCTGCCAACGCTCTACATCTAATTATCTGCATACTTTTTGGTAAACCTCAAGCCCTCACTTCTACTACACGCGTGATGGATGAACCTCAGCATCATGTGACTGTATTTTTAAGACCCACTGCCAGATGTAAGACAACTTACCACCAATGTGCTAGAAAAGAGTTGCAAAACACCATAGGAGGAGCCTGCAAAAAACCAATTGATAACATCAATAAAATCAGCTAGATCTGATACAAAAATGAATTAATGTGATAATAACATAGACGCTGATAGAAAAACATTAGGGAACAAAGGCCATTCTCTTTTTCTTTGAGACAATCTCATTATGTCACCCTCAGTAGAGTACCGTGGTGTAATACCTCACAGCAACCTCAAACTCTTGGGCTCAAGCAATTCTCTTGCCTCAGTCTCCCAAGTAGGTAGGACTATAGGCGCCCACCAGAACGACTGGCTATTTTCTTGTTGCAGTTGTCATTGTTGTATAGCTGGGCCAGGCTCGAACCTGCCAACCTCAGTGCATGTGGCTGGCGCTGTAACCACTGTGCTATGGGTGCTGAGCCACAAAGGCCATTTTTTAAAAAGAAATGTATCCACATCTTTTTTGAAAAAACGCAAATATAATTTTTAATAAAAGGCCATCAAAATAAAAATTGAGCACAAGAACACAGAGTAAAGGCAATGGTTGACCTCAGGGACCCTTTCAGACAGACCTCTCCACCTTGCATGTCATAAAATTCCATACAGAGTACTAAGGGAGGAGAAATATGAATCTCAGAAAAATCCTACTAAACCTTAAAATTTTAACATTGTCTCATATACCTCTAATTTTAAAGTTTTGTGCAATGTTTTATAAAGAACTTACAAAGTTTTATGGAGTTATTTTACCTCCATTGTCATGTAATACGTCCCTTCTGCTTTTCCTAACAACCTTCAAGCCATTGGGTGTAGTTCCAAGGACATTTCTCCAGGGATCTACAAATCATGTCAGGGACCAGGATTTAATAAATGTTATTTAATAAATAAATAAATAAAAATTTAAATAAATAAATTAATAAATGTAATAAATTTAATAAATGTTAATAAATGTCTGTCCCCAGACACTTGCTTGTTAAGTTTCTGAATGATCAAGAGCTGTTGGTTTTAATTTCTCATTAACAGAGTTCTAAGCCCTGCTATCTTGTGCCTCTTTCCTAAACCAGTGACTTCCAGATGGAATTTTTATCCTGCATAGGCAAAGAAACTCTACTGTCCTCTACAATGTGGTGGTAGTGGTGCAGGAAACCTGCAAGTAATTTTCCAAGGCTCATCCAAACTCTTTCCCATAAGGTATAATTTTTGAGGATTATGTTTCTCTCGCATTAGGTTACAGGTTCCTGTAGAGTACCTAACGTTTAACACACACAGCTAACTCTGTGGACAGGCTCAGTAATATTGGTTACACCACTACTGTTATGAGACACGGGGCTAATGTTCAAACCTCAAACCTTTTCAAATACAGATAGTATAGAAAGAGATGAATTATATTTGCTCTAGGGTAATTATTCTGAAATATTTGGAAATTTGTTATATCTCATTTTCCACTTACCTTTGGATAATATATTAGCTATAAGAGTGAGGTGTTTTCAGGTACTTAGTTCAGAGTATTTACAATTCAATGCTCTGAAAACAAGCAGGATTAACCACTCACCTACTATTCCGGCAACTGTGGGACTTGCTCCAAGGGACTTGACATGAAGGCTCAATAAAGGGATAACCATGCTGACACCAAACAAATCCTAAGAGAAAACAAACAATGACTAACTCAGATTAGTCACCAAAGCCTTGGTGTTTTTAAACTTGTAAACCTTAAATTACGAACTGATTTTAAGAAATAAAACCAGTATCTAAAATTTTAAGCAAGCAAGAAATTATAATTGTATCCTAAAACAGAATGCCATACTAATCAGCTGTCACCTGTAAATGCCTCGATTGCCTTGACCTAGAACTCATTTTAGCTTTAGCTCCTTTGTAACTGACTCTTAACATTGAAGGAAGTGATGCTACAGAAGTACCTCCAATGCAACAAACAGCCCAACACTTTCTGTGGATAATGAAGTAGGGGGGGAAATGGAGGGATAATTCATACTTATTGATGAAGCAGAACTTGCTTAGAAATATAAATTTCCTTCTGGAGTTAGCAAAAGCAACTATGTCCTAGAACCTGAGGTTTACAGCCTCATAGGGTGGTGAAGAAAGGCTCAGTAAAGAAGGAAGGAGAAAGCCAGGCGGAAGGAGGACTGGGGAAGGCCAACTCGTTCCAGTTAAGTTATAAAAAGTGCACAGCTCTGGGGTCACACAGGCAGTTCTCAATTTTGGCTCCATCACCTACTAACTTGTATCCTTGGGAAGTTATTTAAAGTTGCCAAGCTTTACTGCTGTCTTCTGTAAAAAGGGAATTAGTGCCTGAACATGAAGTGGTGTGATGGTTGAGAAAGACCCAATCCACAACAGCAACTGAAACACATTTTCCCCTTTCTTCAGTTCTAGGGATGACATTTGGTACGTATTTTGAGTTAACAGACAAGACTTTTATTTTTTCCTTTAAATTTTTTTCACTTAGTTACTTGCTACAACTAGCTTAGGGGAAGAAAAGCCTATTTCACAAACACAGTTTTCTTCATATTCAACCTGGATTCCTTCTTCCATAGGAACCTGGTTAACTGGAAACAAGGAACATGCATAAGAATATGTTTTCTTTAGACCGAGAGTTAATCTTTCACTCCTCCCACCAACCTGTGTATTCACATAATTATAGAAACATAAACTTCCACATGAACTTTTGGGGGCCTTTTCCATGGTTACATCTTTAGATGTCCATATAGCTAAGACTGAGTCTTAAATAGATCATAAATATATATCACATGTACCAGAATAATAGTTTATTATTTTTATTGTACAATTACCTAAAATTTGTTTTGGATCTGAGCCAATTTCTTTTGGGCTTTACTGTCATTTGTATCCCTTCAGCCTACTGATGTTTATATCATTTCAAGGACTCATAATGCAAGAGCCACCTATTGGGTCTTCTGAATCTTTCAGAAAAGGGAACTCAATTGCTCAACAATTTTTTTTTCCAATAAAAAGGACAGTAAAGGAACTCAATTGTGCAACAAATTTTTTTTTTCAGTAAAAAGGACAGCACCACATTTCATTTAATATTCAAAACAATAAGCTGAGGTCTATGCAAGGTAAATATGAAAATAAAGAATCATAAGCAATAATGGATGAATGATATTATTTTAGCACTTTGTGAGTGCCCCTCCCCAAGCCTATCATTTCTCCAAGAGGCTGGCCACTGACAGTTTCTTCTCAGGAAGTTCTGTTCTAAAGTTGTTTTCTCTTTTTATAAAAGGAGTTCCTCTCTGCTTCTGAATCCATAGCTGCTTCAAAATCCACAGCTGCTTCTTGAGTGCACACTGCATTTGGCAACTGGTCATGTAGGTGTAACCATTTATAAGGAAGTCAGGTCAAAGGCAGCCATGTCAACCTTTCACCAAACATCAACATTTCTCAATAAAACTGATGAATGCATACATTTAAAAGTTCCAGGAGTCTTTTCCAGGTAAGAATCCTACTATTTACTGATTAGTGAAATAGTATCTTGATAAAAATAAATTATCACCTCACTAAAGTTGATGAAATGAAAAATCTCACCAGGTACCTAGAGGAAAGCAGTGGATGAAATAATACATCGCAGGACCATCCTAGCCATCCGAGCACCCTAACCAAAAGATGGCCTAGTGGGTCATCTTAGTCTTCTCTCCACAACAAATTAAAACCTGGAAGTACAGATAAAAGCTAAATCCAGAATAATTTGGTAAATGACTTCTCTAGTCTTGTTCCCTTCCTTCCCCAAATTGAAAATCATTTTCCCTAAGAGTCTTATGGTCATTACAACAGTAAATATACCCCAAATAACTAAGTTATGAAATTACATATAGTAGTCCTTAAATGTTATCTAACAAAGAGTCACTAGATTCTTTCCAGATACAAAAGGCTACATATATTTTCTTTACAACATTTTTCATTTAAAAAAATCCCCACTCTGGGCAGCGCCTGGCCTCATATGCCAGCGGTGGCAGGTTCAAACCCAGCCCTGGCCAAAACCTGCCCCCTCCCCCCAAAAAAAAGCCTGCCACTCTTTTAACTTTCAAAAAAATCTCACATTTTTCCTGGCACACATACTGGACACCTAATGATTCTCTTGAATACATTATTGAAGTTGTTAAAATTTTATACCAGGCTTGTGAGATTGTGAGATTATACTTGCTAAGTACACAGCAACACGACCACATATGAAAAGCTGGGAATATTTAAATCTGTATTGGAAGGTCAGCCACAATAAATGATCTGTGAATTGTTTTATTGTAAAACTCAAACTAATTTGGATTCTAGGTCCTGTCAATTTCCAAACTCTCTGAAACCTAGTCTGGACTTACCAGGTAGAGGCTTGAATTTTTTCATCTGGCAAAATCACCCCAAGTACCTTATGACTTAGGGCAGTGGTAGCTTGGAGTCCTTATCTACCAGAGGTGGACGGCAGCCAACTCTTTGTAGGAGTTTGAAGAACCACCCACACGTGCTGGTTTTGCATTCTAGATGAAATAGACTGGAAAGTGGAAGAGGCACCTGCACTCTGAGACTGATATAATAAGGAGATGAAAAAGCGACAGGGGTGGCACCTGCAATTGAGAACGGGAGGCAGAGATCCTTCCTAAAAAGC